GTGTGCTGACCACATGCACAAAGACATTGAATGGCAAGTAGTGACCTTACTCATGTGATGTGTTTTATTTCTTGACTATTAGGCTATTTAAAATGCTGAAAGCATATTGTATCTGTGCATTAGTGATGACTAAGTTGAAGATTAATCATTCCTTTACACAGTTCTTGGTTCTCAAGTTACATCCACAAATCAAGTTGTAAAAGGTAGACAAAGTCACAGCATAATCAGCTTGTGAAGTTGTGAAATTCCCTGGTCTGAAATCCCCCCCCCCCCTTAAAAAATTATACGAAGTGGAGGATTATAATTAAGTCAGAATATTCTCGTATTATACAATACCATACCATCTCTCTCCTCTCCATTTAGTTTTTTTTTAAAATTCTACAAATATAAAACACATATCTCCATTCTTTTTTATCTTAGATAGATAGATATTTATTTGGTATACTACATATGCGTAATTGCAATGCATTTTTGACAATATAAGATATAAAGGTTTGGCACTAAACAAAAGAATTAAAATAAATTATCGGAAATCGATGGACATGAATATGATTCAGTCATTCACATTACATTTGTATACCAAGGATAACCCATGAAAGCCAAAGGCTTATTTCCAATGGGGTCCTTATACTCATACTTTTAAATTGATGTTAACTAAAATGAACAGAAAAATATAAATACTAAAGCTAAGATGTGGGATCAAGTTGACAACATACAGATCCCTAAAAATGAATTGTAGTGTTTATATACCAAATCTTCACATGGTATGTCTGTTTAAAATGTAATATTTATGTAAATGTACGTTGTGACGGTGAAATTTATATGGAGTTCCAGTCTGATTTAGCCTATGAAAATGTAAATATAAATAGCCCTAACGTTCGAGGTCAGAACACTTACATAAGTCCAAAATTTTACTACTAGTCTTATGACGTCGAATATTATGTGAACTACGGAATAAATACCTACGTGTAATGAATGTAACGTTCTGGGTGTCAAAACTACATCTGATAAATCTAATTTATGAAAAACTTACTTGAATTAAGTATAGTGATAATGAAAACAAGATAAACAATCTCGGTAAAGCTTGGATAATGGATAGGTCTACTTTCTTTTTGAGACAACCTTGAAATGTTGTGGAATACCGATCCCGATCCGAAATACTCACGTGACCACATGAATATACGTGAACTTGAAACGGTGAAATTCTTAATCAACAGAATTCAGTTAATTAATACATAATTTTAAAAGTGTTTGATTTTATTATTTAAAAGGTTTTCTTTTTCCTCACATTCTTATTTTTTCTTTTCTGTAAAATGTTTCATTTTAGGTTTATAAAGAAGTTACATTTTTAAAGTCAATATGGGAAAACGAATTATATATTTCGTTAACTCCTAGATAATTGCGGAATCATTTCAAAAAATGGAGAGAATTTGTAAGTGGTCAAATTTGTTTGTTCAATCTAACGATAATAATACAATATTTATTCTAGAAAGCTCTGCGAAATGAAGCAATTTTTTGACAAAATAGCTGCAGGCGACCTTGAAGAGCATTGTAAGTCTCGTGACTTCCTTGGTAGTCCTTAACATGTTATCGATTCACATGTTTTCATGCTGCTAGAAAAAAGGTATTCACGCAGGAGGACACTGACCGGCACTTTTTAAAATGATTTTAAACTGGTAAACTTATAAACGGCACACTTTCAAGTGCCCATGTACTAAATGTAGCTGGCGTCCAGATTTATGTAAAGGCAAGGCCTTTGTCATTCCGAAGTTTCACTGAAGTCCAGGTTACAACAAAAATGAAAGTCGGGATTTCTTATTGGGCTACAATGTGCTTTCCTCTGGTGCTGCTTTAAAGCTATACTTTGTGGATTTAATCATCGAGTGGTCCCTGCATGTGATGAAACTGAGGACGTCTGTAAATTTGAGTTTGACGTTCGGTACAAATTTTCCATGGTGTATTATTTTAACGGGTACTCCACTCCCATTGTTGTCAGGAACGGAACTTTACTGAAGAGATCGGTATATAACAGTGAAAAGTTTGAACCTCTTACCCCTGAAGGTATGTACCCCCATCCCCTCCATGTACCCCTATGCAACCCTCTATCTGACCATTATACATGTAATATAAGTTTACTTAAACCCCCAAATTTTTGTCAACCTGTCATGAATTTTTTTATCATATAATCCAAGGTATCTGCATTTGTGGAGAGGATTCACTCTCTTGTCTTCGATATTCATGCACCCACTGGCTTGTTGAATGTGTCCCAAAATTTATGTTTTATAGATAAAATGTAAGTTTACATCCCTCCAATAATGATCATTCTATACACAAAGACGAAAATAATAATTTAAGATGTACAATATATATTCAATGAATGCCATATATGTAAAGAGCCAAGCAAAGTCCTGAATTGCTATATATCGCGGAGGGGGGGGGGGTGCTCAAATTAACTACACGTACCCCCATCACTAAACTTACTTATCTTCCTCATTGATTCTGATTTTAATGTTTTGGTAAAAAGTATACAAACTTAGCATCAAGAAATACAAGATATAAGGAAAAATAAGCGGACTGAAAAGAAAATTTATCCATAACACTCTAATTAACGCAACAATTTAAATAGAATTAAATATTCGACCTTTAAAACTAAAAACTATATAGTTTATTCATACATTTTAATATGCGCAAAAGTGAGATAAATTTAGTCAGGACAAGAACAAAATAATATTATGATAATGGTCGGGGTAATAAACATCAATCTACACGCATTTTCAGCTTGCAAAAGAAATTCCCCGAGGAAAAAATGTCACTGGTCATTTTCGGACTGAAAATGCCCCGAACATGTACTACATAGAACACTGGACATGCACATCGTGTAGCACTGTGCAAAGTATACGTATTTCACGCTCTGTTAAAACACGAGACACGTGCACGTGACATTGGTTATTTAATCTTTAAAAAGCTGACATTTTCCCCCCAAAATATATGTTTTAATATATGCAATTTAAATAATCTAGGATTTTTTTGGTCTATGACTGTTCATACAGTGATTACCAATATCACTCAGGATCGGGCTAATTTTTAATTTAATCAAAATTAAATATTCAATTTAATAATAAGCTAATTTTTCGATGCTTTCAGGTTCAGTTCCATGTTAAGGGGGGTGTTTTGTGGTTGGTCGTTATGTAGTATTTACTAAAAGGATTTTTATACCTTTAAAAACAATTCCTATATGTATAAAATTATGCAAAAAAATTGTTTAATATTTCCAATGATTTTTTTTCTGAGCGGTCAATAAATAAATAAATAATAATTATACAATGCAATAAAATTTTACAATGTAAATGGAAAACTATAAAATGCAAATAGAGCCGTTCGAATATTGCAACATTTGAAATGCCATGCTTTTAATTTCAATAAATATTTACGTAAAATCAATCACACGAAAGAGAATTATTGAACTGTTATTGTACTATTGTTGTATTGACTTGTAGTAAATAACTCGCAAAAATAACCCCCAATCTTACATTTGTTTTGTAAACGTAATCAAGTATATGAAATGCGTCAGACTTTTATATCTGATAAAGCTTAAGGATTCTGAATTCAATATATCAAGTGACTGTATTTGAACAATAAGAATTAGAAATTTATCACCAAATGAACGCTCAACTGGCATACCATACAAAATAAATTATTACATAATAATACATATTGAAAAGAAATATTCGAGTATTTCAATTTTTCTATAAGGATTTAGAAATGTAAGCACTTTCAGGGCTTTGAGGTGTTACTCAGGCCCGTGGTATGTGAGGCAAGGGGGGGGGGGGGGCTATAAAACCTGTTAATTCTAGCATTGAAACGTCCAACACTTGCAGAGTTAATTGTCCTTTGTCCTTCTCTAAGACACAGAGCTCAAATCAAGATTTTTGACATAGAGGCAAAAAGTATTTCATATCCATCAAGAACAAAATAAGTGAATGTGTACATTTTACTGAATTTAATTATCATAGTATGAAAACTTAAGGAGGATGGGGGAGGGGGGGTCAACACATCACCCATCAGGTATAACTTCATACTTTTTAAATATGATATCAACATAACATAGTTTGCATTATAAATCAACAGTTATTTTCAAAATGATGATTAAAACCTCTGACTGTCCTTAACAAAAAAAAAAACAAAGACTAATAAAAGTTAAGTATAGTTTACCATAGGAAACTAGAGTTTTACTGTATTAAATCAAAGATTTTTTTCTATTATATAATAGTAAATCAAAGTATGTTTACTATATTTTATGTACATTTTCTGATTTTTATTTTAGAACTAGATGAAGTTTTAACTGTCGATGGAGTCTATAGACTATTATTCAGTATAAATGGAGAGATGCCGGGTCCCCCTATAGTTGTATATGAAGGACAAGTGGTAAGTTTTACACGTAGCATTCAAAATTAATGTAAACCAAATTATGTGATATGAAATATGAATAGAAGGAACAGTACTCATGCCCTAAAGTCGACAGAAACAATGCAGATCAGGAGTACAGCAAAAGCAAAACGAAAAGAAAACATAAAGTTTGGATCAGGTGCCATGAATTAGTAGAATCCCCTGTTGCACGTGAATTATTTGTCTTTGATATTACATGTAGGATAACATTTTGTATCAAAATTATAGCTAGTGGAATTATTGTTTATAATCAATAATATTGCAAAACCATTGAAATAGGGGAAAAGACGCGTTCCTTGCGACAATTACGAATGTAACATTTTATAAAAATGTATGACACAATTTTTCCATGACCAATAAGTACAAGTCTGAATTAGTCATATGCTAATTAGCAACTGAAAATTATAATATAAGAATTAATTACAAAAAAGATTAAAACATATATTTTCAATAAAAGAATGTAAATAACTGAAGTGAATATAGTAAAATCAAATTTTGTGAAATAATTTTTAAAATAATCATAAACCCATTAATTTGGATGTGTATTTTGTAAAAACAAACAAACAAACAAACGGTACATAACGTTTTATACAAATCCTACTTATACACTTTTGACAGGTTTCCTGCTTTTCTGTTTTGTAGCTTGTCAATTTTTTTTTGTTAAAACAATCATTGGTATATTATTCAATAAACTTGCAGTTCATAAGTAAAAAAAATTGATTTGTTTTCCCGCAATGTTTTTTCATTGACAAGCGTCTTTTGTGTATTCAAAACAAATTGTAGAGAGTAAATTTATTTTCTCCCTGACTTCAGATCGAGGTCATGGTAAAGAACAGTTTATCTAATGAAGCGTTCACGATTCACTGGCACGGAATGATTCAGAAAAACACGCCATGGATGGATGGAGCTTCCATGGTTACCCAGTGTCCAATCAACTCTGGCGACTCATTTCTGTATAGGTGTGTATCCCAGCTCAATATCCATTCGGATCCTTGGGTGGCTCGCAACCATGGTAACCTCGGACGTGAAAAAGTGTTCTACCATCTTTTGAGTCAGTCATGTGATCTTATTTGAATTTCATTCAAAAGTAATACATGTACTGTACTTTTGAAATCCGAGTTACTTTGTTACACACCCAACACTGCGTTCTTTCTTTCAAAGACAACTAACATATGGTTGCAATTAACATGAGGAATTATGCAAATAAAGAAACCTTTTCTAAGAACTTTAGGCAGAGCGAAATATGAAATGAGTGACAAGGCAGTTTCCGGCGGAGAAATGTAGCGACTTAATGCGTATTACTCCACCTTTCACATCCGAGGTTACAGTGGAGCGTAACGGAGTCAGCCGAGGATTCCTGATTGCTCAATTTCATTATCATGCCATTAAAAAAAAAAACTCTCCCTATGCGCGGATCTAGAGGGGGGACCCCCCTCTGGAATTCACAAGGTTATTAAATTCATATGCTAAAGCAAGTAAACTGTGATCATGGACACCCCCAGGGGCTGACAAATAGATTTTAAAGGCACTTGCCCAAGGGCAAGTACATGGTCAAAATTCACTTGCCTACCTGAATTTTTGCCTGCCCTACCATTAACTTATACTGTATTTATAAATATATATAAAAAAATACTGAGTAGAATATTGGCATACATATTGATTTTATTTTTGATAATTGATTAAGTCACTTGCCCACGGGCAAGTGGTTGATGAACAAAATTTCACTTGCCCAACCCTAAAATTCACTAGCCCCGGGCGTCGGGCAATGGGATTTGTCATCATTTCCAAGTACTGACACCAAACTTGCCCCCCCTTCCTGGAAAACGCGGATTTGTGCATGATAAATTGGTATGCAAAAGTCTTCAGATGCTGAATTCAACATACAAGGTGTAAAAAGCATCACCAAGAAACTATAAGGCTTATATAAACCAAAGTTGCACACCAAGGGATGAAAACTCTCAATCTTGCTTCAGATGCTGGATTTTAATTACATTTTCCCCCCCCCCCCCCCAACAAAAAAAGTTTTTGACGTTTTTTTTTTTTTGTTTTTGTTTTTTTTTTTTGTCAAGAAATTTCTGGGTTGGATTTTTTTTTGGACTAGGGTGGACCCCCCTGGAAAAAAAATCCTGGATCCGCGCCTGCTCTCTCTCTCTCTCTCTCTCTCGATCTCATTTTTTTACCTTAACGAGGCCAATTAAGTCTAATTCGAGTGCACATGACATTTTAATTTCATGCAGTCATATGTGCGACAGTACACCTCCAAATACTGTGATTTCAAAACAAAGTTATTATTATCTGTAATTACTACTGGTCTGAAAATGTGCTTTTACGACTATTATTAGGATTTTAAAAAAAACCCGCTGAAATGACTGTTTCCAATTTTTTGTAAGCAATGCATGACGCTGAAGATTGACTCATGACTTGTGTACAAGACGTTTATGGATATATTCTATCAAAAACTACTAAACACTTGACAGAACATCAACAAAAAAATACTAGCAATCAAAACATTGCTATTTTTTACCAATTGAAATAATTCATCTGCATCGATATACCACAATATGGCACATTTATGGAGTCATTGGGCACTGAGAAAATAAACTTTATAATATTTGTAGACCAAACTAGATTGTCATTTTTTTTTTGAATTTAATTTCACAATTTGGTATTAACCTTATACAATTATGACTTTCATAATTATGTTTGGCTGAAAAAAAATCTCTAAGGCATGCAGAAATACAAAAATATGGGAAAAAATGTGATATTTGTAGTTTGGAGCTTTTCCAACAATTTTAGATGGCTCGAATCACTATGAATCGGGATGGTAAACATCCGAATTTTTTAACTTTAAAGCAATAAATATGATAACAGTGAAAATTAATTAACGAAAAATTATCAAAATCCCTAGGGAAAAAATAATTGACTTCGACAGCCACGTTAAAAACATAACACAAAAAGTTGTCCTTACTTCCAATCTTTAAAGTCTTGTCTATATTTGATAGTTGCAGAACTGTAGCTCTCCAGTTTTGAAAATTCGCATGAGCGCTACAGTTCTTCAGTTGTTCATTTGTGTGACCTTCAGGTTTAAGGCAGAACCACGTGGTACCCATTGGTATCACTCACATCAAGGTACCATGAGGACTGACGGACTGGCAGGTCCTTTAATTGTCCTCCCACGTGATGAGCGGTTAGACATACCGGAAGTGGAGGACGACTTTATTCTGATGATCCAGGATTGGAATAGGAACATATCATCCCTGGAAAGTCACCAGATTCAACATTATAACATGCACTTGTAAGTAAACATTGAACAAGATTATTTGCTGCTTTTCGAATTCGTTTACGGTAAATGATTTGAATTATTCAATATGTGATCAGTAGTTTAGAATGTAATTATGAAGAGAGTGTTCTAGTAGTATTCTTGTATTATGATTGAATTAAAATATTGAATGCTTATAATCTACTTTATCCCAAAAAAAAAGAAACTGGAAAAATTCAGGAAATCCATAACACACTTCAAACATTTCAGATACACCAATAATTTTAATTGTACGGACAACTGTTACCTGCCTACTCACACAGCGGATGGGACTAATATGGGCGTAGTGCCATTCCATTCTGGACTTATTAACGGAAAAGGTATAGAATTTCTTCTGCATTGGAAAAAGTTAAAACCAGCTAGGTACACTATGATCTTTTCTCGATGGAAATTCGTCTGTTGCAATGAATGTGTCTTTGAGTAGTTTGATGTTGATTTAATTCAATTTTGAAAGGCAGTGCATTATGATTTAAAGCATTTTAATTTTCATTATTTAAATAAATTACATGTACATGTACATACTTTTGGTTGAATTTTTTTTATGATTGAAGATTCAAAAAATGGAAACTATTGGTTTTCATAAAAAAGATTTACAAAATAAGACGAACAAAACAAACAGGAATGACATAAATTTTACAGATTGAAATATATCAAAGTACTGGAACCTAATTTATTACACTACTATAAAATATTATTCATGTCAGTTTAGCATAAAAGTCGAAATGTATGTTTTGCACAGTTTCAATCACTGTATGAAAATGTCTTTCAACAGGTCACTATTACCCACATAAGTCGTATGATCCATTGATTGCGGAAATTCCAATAGAAACATTTAAGGTGAAACCTGACAAGTACTACCGCTTCCGGGTCATCAATGCCGCCATGATGTTTTCCTTCCGGTTTTCAGTTGACGAAGTAAAACCTTCTTAATTCTCAATTTAAATGTTACTTATTATTCATAACATTAATGCAAAAAATTAATAAAGTAACATTCCAACCGAATAGTCTCCAAACATGTTTGTTACTGAGTAAAAATCGTGATTATAAGTTAAATACAGCTGTGAATATAAAAATGTCAAATAAATTTGTTAATAAAAAAAACTCCATTAGTTTATTATATTCTTATTGTGTCGTATTCTTTTCTTTGTGTTATTTAATCAATTTAACGTTTGAATTGCAGCACATGATTCATGTTATTTCTACCGACGGAAATGACGTAGAGATGGAGACTGCACAGTCAGTGATTATTTCCAGTGGTGAACGTTTTGATATCCTTGTAAAGACAGATGCAAACCCTAGAAAAAACTATTACATTCGGGCAGAAACAACCGAAGTCAAAAACAGACACAATGTAATACTATGTTATTATTTTTGTACATTGTATAATCAAAAAAAATATTCATGGTCTCCTTTGAATGTTGATGTCTCAAAGTATATTTTAATGTGGTGTTTTGCAACTATTAGGGGTATATAGAGCCTCAAATGGCACGTTTTATAGATTTCATTGAAAATCTTCACTAGGCATGCTTAAATTTCTAACCTCCCTCTCCCTTTATTCCGTGTACCAGATCAATTCATAAGGATCACCGGGGTGGGGGAGGGGGTGATCGGTCGAAAGGAAAAACATACTCCTCCTAGTCACCCAATCCCAACTCCGGGATTTCCAGGGGCCCGTGTTTTATACCTGCTCACAAATAAGTACACTGTATTGTTAGTAGTTTTTTTTAAAGATCCACAATTGTTTATTTTTTTTTTTATATAGGAGGAAATTTATCCCGGAAGGACTTTGGCAGTTCTAAGATATGAAGACGCCCCGGAGGAATTGCCAAAGACGACCCGCCATGAGTGTACAAGAGAACGAGTGTGTAAAGTTCTTAACTGTCCATTTGAGTAAGTTTAAATAAATATGAAGCTATAATCATTGTAGTAGATAGAGGTCTTGAGATATAGCTTATCATACTGGCATAATGTGTTTTTGAAAGCCAAGTTTAACTTGTCATCATTACAGGTGACTCTCAAGATATAAATGTAGATCAACAATTGTTTGTGAATATAAATGTTGGCGTCAGATAGAAGTCATTAAGTAACTATTTATCTAGGCAACTTTTTCTGGAACTTGGCCCATTGATCAGAAAATGGCAATGGCTAGCCTAAGACATAAACCAAAATTTCTTTCAATCATAAAAAGTAAATATCACTTATAAACTGACGCTTGTGAAAAAAATTAAATGATCTTATATACAAATAAGCTAAATACTGAGTATTGAAGTCTTGGCAAGCAAACGGTTAAGATTGCGAAAGTACAAGGAAATGAAGCTTTGTGTATAAAAAATGGTCATGCAGCTTGTATTTGTAGCACATATCTGGTAAAATAATCGTAAAGGTTACAGCATACAAAAACCGAAACCATGAAGGTTATCTTTTTCAATGACATCGGTCCCTACACACGAAATTAACTAATTATTCCAATGACTCATAAATTAGGATATGTATAGTCAATTTACAATTCCATGTAAACTCTCATACATGTATTTATCCCCCCTTCAATCGTATTTTAAAGTTTTTTCTTTGTTTCCTAGACTATACCCTGCAGATGCTAATATTATGTGCATGTCCACTGCCGACTTCCGGTCTACACAGGAAATGGTGAGCAGACAGCCGGTCCCCATGCCTCCAAGGGGCGAGGAAATTCGGGAGGACTTCCTTAACTTTCACTATGCTGGTATGTTTCATCATTTGATTAGAGTGAATTATATATGTCAGAGAAATGAATGTCATTTTTCATATAATATATATTATAAATATAATGTACAATTATATTAGATACAAAAGACATTTGTATTCATTTGATTTTTATATTTTTGGAGGGCAAATTGCTAAAACAGACTGAAAAATTTCTAATGTTCAGGTTCAAAAATAGCAATAATATTAATGTAGTTTTAATAATTTAAAAAGATATCAATGCATAATTTAAGGTATTATTTGATGCTTAAAATATGTCGCCTGTGTGCATATGCACACAATAAATTTCGATGAATCGAACGTGAATTTTCTGACAAGAATTATTAAGTATATCCCCAAGATTCAGTTTAGGCATTTTCCCCCACAAAACAAACTCAATTCCAGCCCCAAATGTTTCAGGGAAGAAAGGAAGTCCTTTCATGGCGGCCATTAATGGATACAAGTTTGAGTTTCCAACATGTCCCCCACAGGTAAATGTTTTAATTTTTTGAAAACGATTAATTCATTGAGAATCGTAATACATGTATTTTTGTCTCTTAGATAAAAAGAAAAATTCATAATTTTGAACGTTTTGAAATCATAGATAACATATGACCCTCCCGCGCGCACTTGTTTCAATGACTGTCAGGATCATGACTGCGAGGATTACTGTGAATGTACTCACACCCTGAAGTACGATCAGCTGCCACTGAACACGGGGGTACAGATGGTCCTTGTAAATAAGGGTTAGTTGATTATTAATGGGCCTTTAAGTCGAGTTTTATGAGAAATATATAACACAAATTTTGTAATTATATCTAACCCATAGTCAATCAAATTCTTTCCTCAATCCCAACGAGTTCAAGATACTAATGTTTTATGACTGTTCTTCAGTTACTAGTAATTAAAATTAAAGAACATGATTTTTCACTATAAATGACAGTGACGTAACACCTTTTTTGAAAGGGTGTTTGTGTGTGTATGGGGGGGGGGGGCAACCAGAGAAAAAAATTACTTACCTGAAAAAAAAGTTGACAAGCACCAAAAAAATATTTTCTCTCCTTTAGATACGTTTATTGGGGCTACAAATCATCCTATTCACATACACGGCCATCACGTGCACATCCTTAAGATTGGCTACCCGGAAGTCGACCACGAAACTGGGTTAATTGTGCATGACACACCCGACATCAGATGCCGGGGACAAGATTGTAAATATCCAGCCTGGATACGTGATGAATGGGCAGGCGGGAACCTTCCAGGTCTCAATTTAAAAAATCCACCGTTAAAAGACACTGTTGTAGTACCACGCAAGGGTTATGTTGTGCTGCGATTTCCTCTTGACAACCCAGGTAAGCCTGCATAAATATTATCTTATTTCATCCATTCACAAGCTTAAAGCTGAACAGCTATGTCCGCCATATTCGACTGGACTCTCGCTATATCTGAGAAAACCCCTATATATAGAGCAGCTCACTTAGTTACTGTTTAACGTACTCCTTGATGTCCATGGCCTGTAATGGCGTAATTGTCTATTGAGTAGCCGTTTTCAGTTTTAATATTGCATGTCTTTTTATTAAAAATGGATAATACTATGTAATTTCTGCACATTAAACTATTCTTTAGAAACTTTTTACAAACAATTTAATATATCATTAGGGTACTGGTACATGCATTGTCATATGGAAGCCCACCAATTGGAGGGAATGACGATGATAATCAAGGAAGGACTTCATTCTGAGCAGAAGAGGCCCCCAAAGAACTTCCCCACCTGTGGCGATTATACTTGGTCATTTGATGAATACGAGGACATTGTCAATGGACCCACAGTTGGTCTCGGGGCAGTGGCTACAAATGGCGCCCAGGGTGGTAAGGAAAAATCCATTTTGTTATTTTTTATCTCCATTATACATGGCACAGATTCTCATAGATTAAGTAAATGATTTTCAAATATTGTTCACATTTAATTAAAAAAAATTTTAATAATTTTTCTAATTCTATAAATCTTTTTATAACAAAACAAATAACATGCACATTCTTAATGCACATTCATAACTGACAGATTTAATTCTTTTCCGGTTCAAAATACCTGGTTGATATAACTCAAAATATCATTTTTCTTAAGAATACACCAAAGAATCCGCTACAGGGTACCAGGCCACGGATGCCCAGGGTTACGCCTCACAGACAACTGTTACAATTCTGATTGTCGCCCTTTGTGCCACTCTTCTGTGTCTGGCTATAGTTATCATCAAATTAGTTAGATGTAACCCTAAGCAAGTCATTGTGAGTAGAGGATCGTACAACGAAGGAGTCAAATCCCACTCTTCCAAACTCTCTGGAACCGACAGACAACCGTTGTTGTCTTCTAGACCAAAAGTCACAGAAATAGAAATATGATGTAAACACTGTAAAGTAGTTATAATATTCCTCATGATTTTGAATATTTTACAGATAAAATTTTATCAAAGGAATGAATTTTACAGATACCCAATCTGATTAAAGACAATAAGGCCTGATTTTATACAATAAACCGATTTTCTCCGTCTGCAATCAAGTATTGCTTGTGTATCCAATCAAACGACGTGTCTTTTAAATCAAATGGCATGTATATTCCATCAAATGACATGTAACAAGTATTGAATTATTGTATTATTACATGTATATCCCACTCTCAACCAATTAATGCTTAATGTCAAAACAGAAAATGTTTTTTATAATTATGCGCCCGGATCGATAGATCCGGGCGTATATTGTTTTTGTCATGTCTGTTTAGCTGTTTGTCTCTCTGTCTGTTGTCAACTTTAACCTTGGCCATAACTTTCGAACCATGAGAGATAGAGACTTTATATTTGGTATGCATACTCCACTAATTAAGCTCTTTCAAATGACACCTAGATCAATAACCTTGTGACCTTGACTGTGACCTATATGCTAAAAATAGTTTTTTCGAACTTTCACCATAACCTTTGAACCATAGGAGATTGAGACTTCATATTTCGTATGCCTACTCCACTAATTAAGTTCTTTCAAATGGCACTTAAGTCAATGACCTTGTGTCCTTGACTGTGACCTATATGCTACAAAAGCTTTTCGAACTTTGTTGCCGTCGGGCGCATAGTGTTTCACAAACACATCTTGTTAATCATCAAATGCATCAAAATTGTATGTACATGTAATACTTATACAAAGTTATGTAGTTCTTTAATCATGCATTTTTCGAAAGGTAGTAGGTGTTGGGGGGTTACATATGTAGGGGCGGGGCGGGATAAAGACACATATAATCATCCATAAATATAAGTTTGTTCATCTTCAGATCTTTATTTAGGAACAATTGTGGAACTATTAATTGATTGAAAAATGAGTCGAGTAATCCTTGTTATCTTCTGTGTATTGTTTCAAGCCTGTAGTGTTGTAAAACGTCAGCATAATAATTTACTAAACGCATACATGTCATTTTAAAAAGAGAACTGGATGGTTGTAGCGATTGCTAGGATATTATTGATATCCTGGAGAGATGTATATAAAAGTATACAATAATGATCTTTTTAAGCTAAAATGTATGAAATTTTTTTTTTGTCAAATGATAATTGACAGCTTAAGATATTATATTTTTAAAAAAAAATTAAGTAAAATCCGATAGTAAATTTTTTGACTCCTCACGCGCCTTAAGTATACGAATATTTAAGGAATAACTGTCTTATTTTTCGATTACATGAAGGCGTTTATGCATAAAATTATCACACAAGCCAATCGATTGATCATCGTCATGAAATTGAAAAATCTGACAGTTATTCCTTATATTTACATGCTTTGATTCCGCCAATCCACGTGCTCCAAGCCCTGCCTAGCTGTTTGTTCCGCCCTGCACGTGTTTTTTTTTTTTTTGGAACCGCCAATACATTGATGGGGAAATAAAGTACATTTACAATTTGTAATTTTATCTCGGACTTATCCAAAAAAATCTAAAGAGCTTTATTTATTTATTTATAAAAATCATGCAACATTGTTTTTAATTTCTTTGTATGACATATGTAATATAAAATATGAATGATACTAATTAGAAGTTGTTTCAATTTTAGACGGGCATTAATATTTTTTATCGTCATCTTCCGTACGCAACGAAATCTGAATTGGATGGCATAATAACGTATTTTAAGTGTTTTTATTTGTTTACCCCAAAAGATACTCTGGGAAGCAATTCTCAGTACACATTAGATCTTTCTTTGTGCATTAGATCAGAATTAGAATTTCAAATTCCATTTATGTTTTCCCGTTAAGTTGATGTCTAACAAATGCAATGTTTAGTTCAAGATATTGAAACGTGTAAAATATTATTAAAATACTGATAACTATAATTTTGCTTATCATATTTTTAGAGTTTCTTCTCTTTACATTGACTTGACAAAAAAATCTATCGTACTTTAATTACAAGTAGGTGTTCCAAATCACAATTTAATATAAAGATTTTAATAAAATTCCATCAGGTATTCTTCTTTGGTGCTCATTATGTATACTTTTAGACAGAATTCTTATTTGAGAATTATTTATTCATGCTTGAAATAGGGAGATACCGAAGTATAACAAGCTCATATGCCAATTGAAAGAATACAAATGGAATGAATTATTGAATAAAATTTTGAACAGTCAGTACCATAGGGCTTGCGGGCTTCACGTGTGGATTTATTGTGACAACACGTTCTATGGATATAAATATTTTTGCCTCCACCTTAAAGTTTTAACAGTAAGTGGTAGGGCTTACATTTACTGTCTCATAGATATATTCCTGGTGACAAGACCAACCTTTGAATACCAACAAATCAACCCTTTGACATTGGACTTTGGCCTACTTTTGAAAAACGTGAACGAACCTTGGCTATAACTTTTGAACAATTGATGCTATGGCTTTCATACATCGTGTCATGCAAGTAGAATTTTTAACGAGACGCCAATATGGCGATTTTTCTTTAAAAATATATGCATTAAAGTTTCAATATTGAAGTTTAAGACAGAAGCTTTAGCAGTCAAAAGTTGTATACTATTTACCCAAGGCTTATTGTAAGACTATGACTTCACTTACATATCTATGTAAAGTTAAAAGGACGGACTTCGAAGATCTCCAGCACTATTGTCAATGCTACCTTATGGAAAGGTCGTGCCTAGTTCTGTATCTGTATTGTTACGTCACAGGATCCCGTAGGGCTTTAACGTGACGGACGTAGGGCTATAACGTGACCTAATCCAGTATTCTTATCGTTTTACACGGGAGGATGTACCCGATATAAGTTAGCGTGATGGTTACTCTTTTCTAGAACGCCAACTTTCAGAAAATGGGCAGATAAATTTGCGTGCCTGTAGCTGCTTACTCTATTGTTACATGTAATTTGAATTCTATGCGCCGATATTCTTTTATTCAGTGAACCCTCGGTTTTGCTAAATATAAATTAATATACCCAAAAGGGCACTTTACATACATGTTAACCTATTGTGATGAAAAAGAGGGAGATTCAGACCTCAAAAGCGGTAGCATTGCGCGCGTGTTGTTTAACGCTTGGATTATCGATATCTTTCATGTAATATACATGTATATTATAAGCCTTAAATGAAATCAGGTACCTACACTAATTAATCTTAAATATCAACAGCAAAGAAGAAGACAGAAACACCTTAAGTTTGACATAAATTGTACAAATTCAAATATTTTTCATGCCCATCATTTTGCTTGGATTGGCTACTTTACTTAGCCTTGTGAAGAGTGATCTTTGCTGATTTAGCCTAGAAGCAATAATTCAAAATATTCATTCAGTTTTTAAACAAAACAAATGATAAAATGGTTTAATCTAGATCTAAAAAAAAGTTCCTATCTTTCGTTATATAAATCAGATTTCCCGCGATGATCGAAAACGAAAGTAGAGAGAGATGTGCATGCAACATGGCTTGGTCAATCGAGTGATTTCTATTGACTTTATTGATAAAGTTGTGAGCTTCTGTGCTTATAAAGACGATGGCAAATGTTTTCTTCTAATTCTTAAAAGCTGTATCTCCTTTTTCATGGCAGGGATGGTGATTAATTTATCGTAACCAACGTAATCACTGGTAGTCTTGTGTTGTTGTCGTTGTCAAATCCGTGCTTGAAATCTATGTACAAAAAAGCGTTTGTATGATTCCGAGTCAAATCACGCGATATCTAGCGAGATTTTATGAGAGTGGCTTCAAAAATGGATACCCAAGCGAACCAAAAATACTTTAGACGAAGCTTTTGTAGAAAAGCGGTAGATTTCTGCATTAAATCGGTAGGCGGGAGATGGAATGAAAAAGCGGTAGACTCCCGCCTAAATCGGGAGAGTTAACATGTATGCACTTTATATTCCGTATACATCATTAGAAGATTTGTATTTAAGATTTTTATAAGTTTTGGTACAGAAGCTTGGTCCAGTAACATAACAAGAACAACAACAACAGCTTATAATCAAAACATCGTAGGTTTAACCGTATTTGGACGAACTTTGATGAGAACCATTTCTCATCTTGTCAAAGTATTCCTATGTACTACGAATTCAAACAATTTTTTTCAATACTCAGAAATAGCAATTTTAACTGTTTATTTCTATGTAACTTAATAAAATACCACCAAACATAAGAAGACGAATTTGTTTGTAAACAAGACAGATGAAAGGAAACAACACAAAATGAATCGAGGATATATGATTGAAAATGTCCGACGTCCTACATCATACTGTTGGTATCCTGAGGGTGCTTTGCATATCTTTCTGATTTATAGTACGCCGCTAGCTTTGGTCGAGCTTCCATCCGCGCCTTAAATGCCTTTAAGAGGGGACAATAATCAGCAGATTCATACGCCTTAGAATAGGACGATTCACATCCGCGGAGGCACTGAAGTAGTGCCAGGTCTACATACGTCACTTCCGCTCCAAAACAGAAACTGAAATAAAATTGTAATTGGTAATTTTTCAGTTGAAGAGAAAATTTCAGAAATATACAGTCGACAAGGATATTATTTAATATTACAAGGTATTCTTTGCTGTTGAAAGAATGTAACTTATATTTAGTATAATGAGATCAGATATTGTAATACATGTATTAGTATACATGTATCGACTTATCCACAAAGAAAACCATGCTGAAGAAAGATAAAAAGCAACCAAAAAATAAAAACTACTGATGATCAAATTGGCATGGAAAATAATAAGCCATTTATATTGGTGTTGAACGTTAAATATTAATATTAATTCTCATATCAATGACTGACATATTGCAGTGTCCATTGAGAAAGTCAATCCCTAAAAAGTTTAAAAACAGTCACTTTAAGAAGGAACATACAGGAACATTTATGTTTAAACGGTGAATGTATGAAAATTTTTACGACGTTTAATAAAGATATATACACTAGTAGTACCATGCAAACTCTGCTATTCTTAAAAAAAACCCATTACATGTACATACATAGTTTTATAACCAATACTTCAATCGACGAAAAAGAATACGTATAGCATTTTTAGCAGAAACGTACCCTTGACCACCCTTATTAAACTTCAGAACAGCTTCAAAATGTTTCAGCCATTTTGGCAGCCTCTCTTTGACAAACCAATCAATGTAAGGCTGTGTTTCTTCCTTCTGGTCGTGATAAGAACCAACCCAGTGTTTGCCGTGAAAAGCCAGACGCCCTAGGAAAATAAGGAATGTACAATCAATTTTCTGCATACATTTTGCATAATTATGTAAGACTGAGAACACTCTTTACACTACACACTGAAGAGTTCTAATTCTTTGTGGGTTTTTAATGAGATAAACCTAGAAAGATTATGCGTATTTTAGAATATTTCTCATACAATCTTGTTGCTAATGGAATTTTTTTTCATATTTAAGCTCTAAGAAATCAAATATTACTTCAATATAATTTCAATCAGAACGATATCAAGGGAGTCTTTAACTCAGGTGAGATAATATATACTTACCTTCTGCCACAAAGTCATGTATGGTGATGTTCACTTGTTCCGCTTGCAACTTTTCCTCTTCCAATTTAGGAACAAGTCCAAATTGTTCTCCGAGGTATTTACAAATTACTGGCGTCTGTCCCAGGTGGAAATTACCTAGATAAACAGAAAATGGGCATATTTGAATATAAATTAAAAGTATTTACTGATTATTACATTTAACCATTTGCGACAATGTGCAAGTGATACCGGTTTACATTGTAGTCTTCCCATACGAGTTAATCAAAAAAATAACTGAATTTTCCTTCATGACGTCTGAGTAATATATCTGGAAAATCAAGAAAAGTGAGTAGTTCCTTTCAAAAATGGCTAGGCCATTTTCATGAATTTCCACAGACTATTAGTTTGTTTAGGGGAAAATGACAAACTATTGACCGAACATAGTTTGAAACTCAAGGTAAAATTTATGTTTCTTATATCTGCAAAGTATTACAAAAAAGTGATGAAACATTTTAAAACATATCTAGTTACTCTAGATACATTAAAAATCATTGTTCTGACTAGTAGATCACACAATTTATGGTCTTTTCGTAAATATATATAAAATTTAATGATCATTGAAGAATAACTGGAAAAAAAGTACTGTGTTTATTTAGTCCGTGTATATGCATATTTTGCCAAGTAGAATTTAACAGTACAGACCTCTTCTAAGAACAGGCGGGTGCAGCACAGGAAAACCCCCAATACCATTCTGCATGATGGTTTCTCGGACCTCCTCGTGTGTTTTCATCGGCTCTGTGTATGACACACCTGCTTCCTCAAAAACCAGACGAATAAATTCTGCCCTCCCGGCAAACGGGACATTGTAGTACAGAATCTCCCAATCACCCATCTTAAATGAATGAATGAGTTCAGTAATTTCTCATTACATCTAAAATACACATGTTATGTAGTCACGGGTTTATAATTTGTATGTTCACGACATAGTAAATGATTTCATTACTCAAAATGCTTGAATCAATTCCTTCAGGGAAGCAAAAATTCTGATGTTCTAATTCATGTTCTGATTTCTGACCTCACATATACGGATCCATGCAGTTTTAAACTGAGGCAGTCCTTGAACATATAAACATGGTCACCGTGCAAACACATGGAAATTATTTTTTTTTTTTAAAAGTCTGCCATATCTGTCAGTTTGATATTCATTTTGGGTGTTCTACTGTGTATAGACGAAGAAGGCAACTAAATAAACAAGCATAAAACACGGACCTCCTGAAATTCCAGAGACGGGTTTACGTCATCGTGCCTATAGGAGAAGTAAACATTCCCTGTTGGCTGGTCACTTCTGCAGTGAGAGCTCTATGTATTTATCAGATATACGGATCACCTGTAGTCAATTTCAGTCCAAGAAAAAAAAACCCACAAAACAAACATACAAGAAATTGATTTGAAACAAGTTACAAAAATAGGTCATATTTGCTAATAAGGTCATTATAACAATCATAAAATTTACAAAATGCGAGGCGCGGTTTAAATTCCTGTACATGTAACACTTGCTCTTGATTATCAGATGGAGATGCGGGCGATACCGGAATATTAGGACGTATGTATACATGCAAATAAGGAAAGTTGACGATGGAAAAGTTGAAATCTAACTTTTCAATACCATATATAGATATTAGTTAGAGAAGGAATTCTTGTCTGGTTTCTCACTGTATGACATATTCAAAGTATATTTGTTTATACATGTATTTCTATGGGGCGCCGTTTTAATATTTTTAAGGTATTTTTTGATATCAAGAATTCGAATTTCTGATATCAGAAATTCATTTTTTGATATCAAGAATTCGAATTTCTGATATCAAAAAATCTTCGGGATTTTATGATATCAAAAATTCGAATTTTTTATATCAAAAATTCGAATTCTTGATATCAAAAAATATAAGCCATTTTCTGATATCAAAAATTTGAATTTCTGACATCAAGAAATTATTTTCTGATATCAGAAAATGATTTTTTGATATCAGAAATTCAAATTGATTTCTTGATATCACAAAATACATTTTTGATATCATAAAATAAACTAGAAAACTGACCAGTCAGCAAGGGCCCCGCTGAGGGGTATGAAGATAAGGGTGCAGCTCATATAGGGAGGATTTTACTTGATTACATTTTCAAAAAAACAATATGAAGAATATAAACAACTACTGTATTTTTAAAATTTCAAGATAATTCCTGAATGTCCAAAAACCTGTAGATAATGACCTAGCTTGTATTTACATAAAATAGGAAAAACCTCATGTCTATATAAAAACTCAATTAAATGTGTATTTAAAAAAAATTAAGCAGGTGTTTTCTAAATGCAAGCTTTCACTGAATGCAAATATCACCCAGGGTTGACCTCAACTTCAAAACAGATCAGTTGCAGACAAAGGTGTTCATTAATATTCATGTGACAGATACATGTAAAGATAAGCCCCTGAATTTTCTGCAGCAAGCAAGATAATTAATCCCAGGGGATTAATTGTACTGCTCTCTTGTCCTTTTCTTCTAAATTTACAATAAAAACTTTTTTTCAGCAACGACAGAATGGGGTTATTATCTCATTACATGTTAAAATTAACAACTTTAAGGCAGCAAAAAAAAATAAAATAAATAAATAAATAATAATAATAATAAAATGATAATAATAAAGGATATCTTAATCTATATCTTGTTTTTTGAATTCAATAAAATCATAACCAAAATAAAGCATGAACAATATTAAAATCCATATTTCAGAGAATGTACACATCATTCAAAATTGACCTTAAGTTCAAAACAAACTTCATTTGCAGACAGAGGCAGTGTAGTAATTAATCTCAATGTGACAGATAAAGATAATGCTAAGGATTTACTTCAAGTGGTTAATTAATCCCAAAGGACAAACTGCACAGCCTTCACAGTTTACAATGGTAACATTCTCAGGAGTTATCTCTCTTTTCCCATTCATTCTTATGCATAGTCAGGAATCTACCCCACCACCCCAGCTCCAAACCAGAAGACATAGAGAACCGAACCAAACTTAGCATCAAAATATGTCTTTCTGCCTATTGAACTACCATACCAAATTTGAACTTAATTTGGCAACAATAAAAAAAGTTATTAGAAAAAAACAGAAAATTTGTGGACGGAAGAATGACAGACGGACAGACAGACAGACGGACAGACAGAGTGATTACTATAGGGCACCCGCAAATCCTTGCGGGGCCCTAATAAAATGGCGAAGAATTTTCACATAAATAACGAATACTCCCTTGAACTGTAGAAAATCCCGAACTTCAGTGCCAGATTTGCTTTCTACTGAAATTTGTTGATTTCATACTTTAAGAATATTTTTTTAATGAAAGAATTTAATAAGTGTTCTCGATATTTTTTAGCTGTATTTATCATACTTTTTGGGTTAAATCTTAGTAAATAATCTAGGTATGCTTTAGGCCGGGCTTAGACTGAGCATTTAATTCTCTGTAACATGTTTTAATAGCAGCCATTAGCCTCTCCTATTGCATATTTGTGTAATCGTGTAATCGTGTGATTGTGTAATTCGTGATGTCAGAAAATACAAGTTATTTTATGATATCCAGAATTTGAATGCTTGATATCGAAAAATTGAATTTCTTGAAATCAAGAATTCTTAATTCGTTTTTGATGTCAGAAAATGATTTTCTGATATCAAATTTTCAATTTCTTGATATCAAAAAAACATTTTCTGATATCAAAAAATCGATTTTTGATATCAGAAAATAAACAAGATATTTTGATATCAAACATTCGAATTTCTGATATCAGAAAATAATTTTTTTGATATCAAGAATTTGTATTGTTGATATCAGAAAATGATTTTCTGATATCAGAAAATCTATTTTTTGATATCAAAAAATATTTTTTTGATATCAAGAATTCGATTGATTGATATCAAGAATTTCTTTTTTTTATGTAAAAAAATACCTCAAAAATATTAAAACGGTCTCTCATTTATTTCGTACACATTTAGATGTAAGAGATATAAAAGATAATATTTTTCTGCTTTCCTCACAATTGTAGAACTTTAGATAAAAATCATTATGGTTAAATGAGTTTGAAATCTAGCAGGGACTATATATTGTGATACTGTCTTCTTGATTCTATGAATATGTTATAAATATTTAAATACAAGAAATATGAGATGGATCCCTTTATAACCAAATAACATACTTACAATGTAGATCTAATTAGGCATTATATGTGCGTATTTGTCCACACGCAACTCAGATACAAAATTCTTGAACTTACCTTGACCAGATTAAAATTACATGTAATTCCGATCCATTACTCAAAATGCTTGAATTAAAACTTTCAGGGAAACAAAAATTCTGATGTTCTAATTCATGTTCTGATTTCTGAACTCGCATAGATTCAGGCAGTTTTAAGGACATATGCAAGATACCTTACCTACTGATAATTTTTCACGATATTCTTAATTTAAGATTATAGTGCCATCAGATGTTCATAGACAAAAAAATCAGCATGCATTACCAGAGGGTTTTTGGAAGATATTATGAAAATTTTTGCATTATTCAAAGAAAAATATACAAAAATTACGAATCATAAATTTAAGATTTTTTTTCCATCAAAATTTGTTTAAGAAAAGGTGTACAAATCCATACATAGACATTAAAAGTATTGCACAAAGGTCCTTCATTTAGTGGAACTCTTTAACTCCAGGGAAGAGCCCAATAAAGTTCAAACTACGTTTCATATGACCTTAAACTAAAGCAGTATTTGAACATGTAAAGAATCAGTTAGTAAAGTAAATAAAAGATAAATGGTTCTAATTAAAACTATAATATTTTTAATGCATAGATTCCTTGTTATTGGTTACATGTACCACGCAAACACGTCTACTAGAAACTCTGAAAAATAGACGCTAAACATGCTTAACTCGGCATTATACGTTTGTATGTCTTCACGCTGATCAGATACAAAATTCTTGAACTTACCTTGGACGAATGAAAAATTATTTCCTGGAAAAATCTCGTTTCAAGATGATAACCCAATGAAAGAACTGATATTTTAGAAGAACGTTGAGAGAAATATCTTACAGTTGATAGCTTAAAAACGCTAAAAGTAGACAGCGGTGTTTTTGAACATATATATACATGTATACCTGTATACCCTACTTTCCGTTCAACTTTGTTTACATAGGAGTATGGCCACCAGTTATGTACATAATGTTGAGACGAAATATATTTACTGACTGATTATGAGTTTATTATTATTATTTCATAATTGATGGATACCATCCCCCCAACAAGTTTTCCCCGTCTTTTTATATATTAACTTATCTGTTAAAAAAGAGGACAAGCTATTTTCCCCAAAAAATATCTTGACAATACAGACATGTGACAAAAATATGTAAATATATCAAAGTGAAAGTAGAATTTGTGAACTCGTGTCGGTAAACCCAGCAGCGATAAAGTGTATCAGGTGACAGTGAAAATGTCGTGTGGTTACAGAAACAGATGAAATTATAAGAAACTTAAACAGATCACTTTTAAGGTATTAAAATTTATTTCTTCTTGATTGCATGCAACTTGATCAGTAGATTTTGTGTACACTTTAATCGAACATGAAACTTTTTGATCTACTCATATTAATTTAGATAGAATTCTCTATCGTTAAAATGATAAATGTCTTACGGACCCGGTGCGTTCCGTGTATTCACAATGTAGCAAAATAAACACGGGCGATAACTCGTACTCAGTGCATTTACTAGGAACAATCCAGAGAGTTCCGAATGCAAACTTTGAAGCGAGAAAAAACGTTGAGAGAATTAGTTGAATTTTCGTCTTTATTTGGATTATATTTTAGGTTTAAAGGCATACGCAACCTCAAAAAGGTTTGTTACAATTAATTTGGAAGTTATTTCGAGTGCAAATACTTTTGTATTCTTCAAATTCGTTTCGGAGCGATTCTGCAATGTTTTGCTACATTGCGAGTATATGGGTGGTATTCTAACTGTGGTGACTAATATTAATTATTTACAAGTTGATTGATCGCTTCTAAGCTTTAGAAATGTTTAAATCAATCAATCAGTCCTCGCAAATAAACCATTTTTAAAGATAGTTCCCCGTAAATCCTTTGCTTTGAACCTGATGAAATCTGTTTAACTGAGCAGAACCTTTTATATTTTTTTTCCAACAGCTATTTAAGTGTGAAACAAAGACAAAAATGTATCGGTATCTAGCTATAGTATTTATTAAATAAGTTTTTCATCAAAATAAAGCAAACACATATCTGATCTAGATACACAAAACATTTAAAATATTATAAAATGTGAAAGAACAAGGTACAGTTTCAATACAAATTTAGCCCTATATTTTTCTAAACTATGAAAGTGATATAAGAAATAAAATTCATTCGTTCTGAATCATTGGAATTCCTTGCAGTAAGAAAACACTTGTCAAATCTTTTTTCTCATATGACCTTTTTATACTAAAAGTGACATCATTAGTTTGTGCATTTTCCCGTATTTTCTTTAAAAGTTGCAGAAAACATCAATTTTCAGTGGATTTAAAAATATATTCTGCATGCATCGCCTAAATGTTTTTTTTTTTGATTTGTGATTTTCAAAGCAATTTACATAAAATATTCAAAAGCTGAAATGGGCGACATTGGCAGACACTATTTTTCGAAAGTAAAATAAGCACAGAAATGAGTCATTCTGAGGGTTTTCTGCATTAAACTAAGAAATGTTCAAAATTGATCACGTAATATTTCAAGAATAGTCCTCAGTCATACAATATTCTTAAACGATTTATCATATTCTACTCAACTCTTGTATAAGCCAATTTCTAACTCTTTTAAAACATTAAATTTTTAGAGCAAAATAAAGCCCAAACCATACCTTCTCCTTCTATGAAACAGTAAATATATCTAAGATTGACCTTTTCTGACTGATTGGCTAAGACCCAACTCTTAAATTCCGGAAAGCAATTTTTTATGCACTCCCCAAAACGGATTTCAAATACATGTATTCACGATAGGTGTTTATTTATTATTTTTTTTTTACAATCTTATCCAACCATGAATTTGATCGGTCCAAATTTCATAATCCTGAGTCGAAAAAATGGTCAACAAATATTACTTTAAAGTTGGCAATGGTAGACTAAAGGGCTTATAGTGAGAAACGTTAAGGTAAGATAGTGCATTGAAGACATACGAAGTAAACTAACGCGAATTAATTAAAATTCTACTTCTACGGCCAGGCGTCAGTAAGGTATTATGACGTCATTTGCAATTCACGTCACTTTATGCAGGAGCAGATGCATTTGAATTAATGTTACAGTGTCTGTACACACATTTAAGTGATTAACACAATTTTCCTTAGAATTTCTCTCAAAAATAGCACAAATACTTCAAGCCCACCACGGACATGTGGCAATTGACCTAATGCCCTGTTCACACGGAGAGTTTAATTCGCAGTAAATTAATGCGAAGTAAACTAATGCGAATTAAAATAATGCGAAATTATGCCCTGTTCACACGGAGAGTTTAATTCGAATTAAACGTAAAGTTACTGCGAATTAGCTTCGCTTAGCGTTCACACGGAGAATTTAATGCGAATTATTTTAATTCGAATTAATTTACTGCGCATTAAATTACTTCGCATTAGCTCCGTGTGAACGCTAAGCGAAGCTAATTCGAATTAAATTTTGACGCATGCGTAAGGCCAGAATTAAGTCACAGGATACGTGTTGGTGGTTATATATAGGTATTTGTGCTATATTTGGTTCAAAAATTGAGGGAATGTATGTTAATCACTAAAATCAATGAATACCTGTAGCCACTACATGGTGTATCAAAGGATGGCTCTGCATACATGACGTGATTTACAAATGACGTCATAATAGACTTACTGACGCCTGACTGTAGAAGAAATTTTTTTAATTCGCATTAGTTTACTTCGCATTAGCTGTCGTGTGAACGCAATTTAATTCGCATTAATTTGATTCGCATTAGTTTACTTCGCATTAATTTACTGCAAATTAAATTCGTCGTGTGAACAGGGCATTAAATTGCGTTCACACGATTTTATTTCTGCAGTCAGGCTTTAGTGAGGCGATTATGACGTCATTTACAAATCACGTCACCTTATGCAGAAGCAGATCCATTTGATATAATGTCAAAGTGTCTGTATACACATTTTAGTGATAAACACAATTTTCCTTAGTTTTTCACTCAAAAATAGCACAACTATCTGTAGATGACCACCGACATGTGACATTTGACTTTATTTTGCCATTACGCATGCGTCAGCTGAATTTAATTAAGAAATAAATCACAAGTTTATAAACTTCAATGGGAATTGAAATGGGTCGGTCACGTGATCAAATCCTGTGAAGGCCGAAGGCCTTCTCAGAAGATTTGATCACGTACCGACCCACTTCAATTCCCATTGAAGTTTATAAACTTGTTATTTATTACTTATATATACATTTGAGATGGACAAATAAATATTAAATTAAATATATTCAGATATAAATATTGCACTAACCGGTCGCCGTAGATTTCCGTCAAAAGTACGCAAGGTGTAAATCGGCTTGAAAGGCGGTTACGCTTCGAATTGGTCAGGCTAAGAATTCTATATCGAAGGGAATATTTTGTTAAAGGCTACTTGTGTTCAGTAATTGTGAATAGATTTTTGTCTGGGAATATTTTTATTTGTGAAAATTGATCATTAATGCTGAAAAGACACAGGAAACACGTCCGAGAATGATAAAAAGTTGGAGGAATTTCGGTCGCTTGAAAGGGATAGATAGATTGAGACAATTGTCCGAGCCAGTTAATTTGCAATCAAGTATTAATTTTGATCAAAAACATTTTTATCTACGATTTCAGTAACTAGAGGTATATCTATGATATTAAGACGGAGACACTGGCGACAGTTTACATTGAAGTACGACAGCGCCGATTGAGGTGTATCTCAGCTGTTCGTGGCGTGATTGCAATGCTTTGATATTTTCCAATAGATTTACACATTTATCGTGAGTAGAATTTAATGAAAAAATTTAGTTTTAGCCTATATCATGAAGATTTAACTTAAGGTCTAACAAAAATAAGGATAAACTAAAAAGTTAGAGACTGTGCAGTTGACAAAAGTGACATACAACGTGTAAACAAAGGCTAGATTCTATCGGTATATTCTCTATGTACACAGGTTAAATCGATCGCCAAAAATGTATGAAGTATTTGATCACGTTGTAAATACAACTTGCTTATTTTGTTCATCTTTAAACATGAAAAGCAAGTCATTTTTATAAGTAACGATAGATATTATTGCGCCGTGTGATTCGGCCATGTATTGACCTTTGACCTCCGACAAACTTCATACATGTACAGAATTGAAGTTATTTTCTCTCTGTATGTTTATATAGTGGAAAGATACCACAAATGTATATATTTTGAATTAGCTTCGCTTAGCGTTCACACGGAGCTAATGCGAAGTAATTTAATGCGCAGTAAACTAATTCGAATTAAACTAATTCGCATTAAACTCTCCGTGTGAACACTAAGCGAAGCTAATTCGCAGTAACTTTACGTTTAATTCGAATTAAACTCTCCGTGTTAATAGGGCATAATTTTGCCATTACGCATGCCTCAAAATTTAATTCGAATTAGCTTTGCTTAGCGTTCACACGAAGCTAATGCGAAGTAATTAAATGCGCAGTAAACTAATTCGAATTAAACTAATTAGTATTATGCCCTGTTCACACGGAGAGTTTAATTTGCAGTAAATTAATGCGAAGTAAACTAATTCGAATCAAACTAATGCGAATTAAATTGCGTTCACACGACAGCTAATGCGAAGTAAAGTAATTCGAATTAAAATTTTACTTCTGCAGCCCGGCGTCAGCACGGCTATTATGACGTCATTTGCAAATCACGTCACCTTATGCAGAAGCAGATCCATTTGACATAATGGCAAAGTGTCTGTATACACATTTTAATGATTAACCAAATTTTCTTTAGTTTTTCACTCAAAAATAGCACAAGTACTTATAGCTGACCACCGACAAGTGGCATCTGACTAAATTTTGCCATTACGCATGCGTCAGAATTTAATTTGAATTAGCTTCGCTTAGCGTTCACACGGAGCTAATGCGAAGTAATTTAATGCGCAGTAAACTAATTCGAATTAAACTAATTTGCATTAAATTCTCCGTGTGAACGCTAAGCGAAGCTAATTCGCAGTAACTTTACGTTTAATTCGTATAAAACTCTCCGTGTGAACAGGGCATTAAATTCTCCGTTTGAACGCTAAGCGAAGCTAATTCGCAGTAAATTTACGTTTAATTCGAATTAAACTCTCCATGTGAACAGGGCATTAATGGGCAGTAAACTAATTCGAATTAAACTAATTCGCATTAAATTATCCGTGTGAACGCTAAGCGAAGCTAATTCACAGTAACTTTACGTTTAATTCGAATTAAACTCTCCGTGTGAACAGGGCATTAAATTTCTTTTTTCCAAATTTATAGAAAATACCAGCTAAAACC